GGGGGGGGGAGTTCACCAAGCGGTTGGAGATGTACTTTGGACGAAACCAGCCAATCGCATTACTGGACATCCACTCCTCCATCAAGCCCTTCTACCAGGAGCAGCGGGCCGACGAGCTCGAGCTGTGGCCCAGGGGTCCTCGATCGAGATAGGCCCCGGCACTTGTGGGATGCCTACCTTAATGTACCTCAGGTAGGTAAAGGCGTGGAAGGTTTAGGGAACGAATGACAAGGCTTCTTTTTGGGCCGGGTCGGGTTGCCAAATAGGATTGACATGTTTGGGGGCCACCTGGCCAAAAGTGATATACGTTATGTACCTAGGTAGCCATTTTTGTTGTAAGCAAGAGGAGGCCAGGTGGTTGATCATTTTCAGAAGCTCGGCTGTAATTTATGTTCAGGCAAGAGTTGGATGGATTTGCAAATCGATTTGCCATGATGCAGATTGACTACGGTCGATCAAGGACTGAATTTATCTAGACCTAGGTTTAATGTTATTAGTCCAATGGCGGCGGAAAAAAAGCTTATTTGACCCTTAACAAGCAGCGGTGACGCTGGATCTTGAGTTCCCGATCCAATTGAAGCCCACTTGTTAGAGCGGTTGCACGTGAGTACCGGAGCTCGCTTCTATGACACGGCCAGTTCCAGTTGTCCAAAGTAGTTGACCTTTTGTTTTGTTTTTTTCTCTCCCTTCTTGGTCCAGGACAAGACGGGACTGTCTTCAAAGGGTTTGTCCTGTAACTACATCAAAAAGATGAGTTGTTGAAATTATAAACCGAAAGCATCGATAAGTTAGTAAGAACTAGGAAGTGTGTAGTGCAAATGCTTCAAGTTATGTGAATAAATACAGCCTCGAGGTACCTACAAGGCGCTATCGATGAAGAGTGCAAAAGAACAATCCCGGGCCAGCTACCAGACAAAACGACACGACGTTGTACAGCAATGCGTGCAAAAGTAAAGGCGTGTAGAAAGGCGAGAGAATTCACCGTCAATTTATCATCTTGATTGCATATTGAAATCTGAATTCTGCTCTTGTTTTTCTTGCTACAATTTGACAACGTTAAGGTAGGTAGGTACCTCTCAGCTGCTCCCCTACAGGTGCCGTACATGTAGCTCTCCCCACTACGTGCCTACCTAAAAGTGTCTGGTACTTACCTACGTACATACGTTCAACCTACCTTCTCTTTCGTCTTGCCACTTTTCTTTTCTTTTCGCCAGCGCCGACAAACACGCGACATCTTTCTCCCTCCCGTTTCGTTCAACACCACGCTGCTCGGGCCTGTCCCATTGCTCCAGTGTCCTCTGTGCATAGTACAGCCACAGCAGGTTATACTATCCCCGGCCTGTCCGGCCAGCTAGCAGTCGAGCAGCAGATTTACAAAAAGTTGCACTCTGACACGCCCACACTCGTTACGATACTCGGTCAACCTCCATGACTTCCCGATCGACGGCGAGGCGACGCCAGACCCTGCGAGAGACGCATGCCGTTCAGAAGAATGGCGACCCAGTGACCCCAAAGGTGATTAATGCTGGGCCTTCGCTCGAAAAGGCCCAGATGTACGGCATCACCGACCAGCGACCCGCCTATTCCAAACTCGTGGGCCTCGCTGGCCGCATCTTCATTGAGACGATTCCTCAGTGGCTGGCCGTTGGGGCCATGCTGAGTCTCATCTTTGGGGGTTGCTGTTCCAATGTGAGTAATTCCTGCCGTACCTTTCTTTGGTTGGTCCAGTCCAGTCACCGGGCCGTATCATCACCTACCTACTACCACCTACCTTCCTATATACATACATACCTAGGCAGTAACAAGATGGGCTGATGTGGGACTATGCAGGTATTTGCTCTCGAAGCAATTATCAAGTGAGCAAGCCTTTGCGGCCTCGACTACGCGCGAGGCTGTACCATTCACGAGCAAGAACATCAAGCTGACACTAGTCATAACCACAGGGTCGAGCCTGCTAGTGGTACGCAATATTACCTATAAGCTGTCTAAAGCATTGCTTCGTGGGGGTGACATGCGCTTATGCACGGAAAAAATCATAGGAACTCTTCTCACATTCGTCCAATTCCTCTTTGTTGCCATCACCGGCTACGTCTCTCAGTTCGACAGCTCACGCCCGCCGTTCTTCATTGCGCCAAACAAGGTCCCGATCCGCCGCTGGCTCATCAATATCGTCCTATTCTTCGGCATCAATGTGCTCAACAATCATGCCTTTAGCTACGACATATCTGTGCCCGTTCACATTATCCTCAGATCCGGCGGCAGCATTACTACCATGATTGCTGGAAGTCTGTGGGGCAAGAAGTACTCACGAATTCAAGTGGTCGCCGTACTTCTCTTGACCACTGGCGTAATCACAGCTGCCTGGTCGGATGCACAGTCCAAGGTATGACGACGGTCTTGTCCAAAATCTAGAAACCCCTGTGCAATGCTGGCTAACTTGAGCTTCAGGGCAAGCCGACAGATGAGACTAGTGAATCGTCTTCGACCTTCAGCAGAGGGCTCATTATACTATTTGTTGCGCAATCCCTCTCGGCCGTCATGGGACTCTATACTGAGGAAACGTACAAAAAGTATGGCGGCCATTGGAAGGAAAATCTATTCTACTCCCATCTGCTCTCGCTGCCTTTGTTCCTACCCTTCAGCACTTCGCTTTACCGGCAATTTATGAGACTTGCCAACAGCCCGCCGTTGACTCTGCCGGCATACGTAGAACAGCTTGCGCTGCCTGCCAATATGCCTAACTCGATCCGCGACAGTCTGAAGGAAATCCACATACCCAGCCAGGTCGTCTTCTTGGCGCTTAACGTGCTAACGCAGTACGCATGTATTCGTGGCGTCAACCTACTAGCAGCGGTCTCGTCGGCGCTGACCGTCACTATCGTGCTCAACATTCGGAAGTTGGTGAGTCTGCTACTGAGCATCTGGCTGTTCGGAAATCGCCTAGCTCCTGGAACATTGGTTGGCGCGATCGTGGTGTTCTCCGCGGGCGGCTTGTACTCCCTGGACTCCGGGCCACGATCGGGAGCACCCAGACACAAAAAGACGGGTTAATGCTACCTACCGCAGAGGTGGTAATGATTTTGCGAGCAAGCGTATGTGCAGTAGCAGGCCAGATAAGAAGACACGAGCCTCTCAGCAAGAATAGGGTCTAGGAAGCATGGAAAACACCTCGCCAATAAAAACATACATGTTGATTGCACTGTTACAGAAGTATGCTTTGTGACGTGATTCGTTGATGCAAGGTGAAGACAATGGGTGACAGAGTTACCAACTACTACTACTAGCCAGTCCTTGCAATAAGTGACGGCGTTTAAAAAAAAAAAGGAAAAAAAAAAAGAATCTCATTGAAGAAGCCTGGGAGAATGTACACACGCCACATGTTTGATATCAACCGGCCGTTGTCTGCACATCAAGACAGGCTGAGAGGGAGCGGAATGTACGTGATATACCACGTGCGTATAACGGCATTATACTCGAGCGTTCCTCGTATTTTGGGTCAAGAAGTCGAGGTGTGGAAGCTGCGAACTGCGGGCACAGTGGCCATAGACCTAAGTAGTGTCTCGTACCTCTATACTACCTATTTTACTCATGCAGATAGATACCCATCTACATTTAAGTATGCATCAATTCACTATTGCATGGGGCCCTACACACCTTTATACAAATGTGCGTAATCCTAATGCATGACTTATCGTTATAACCAGCTCTACGAGGTATATACTCCGGTAGATATCTCCATTCGAGTCTGAGAAAGGGTTCTGAAGAAAAAGGAAAAAGGTGGGGGGAAAAATGAAACCAAGAAAGAAAATAGAACAGTTGGAAAAGAAAACAGAAAAAAGAAAGGACCACGTCAGAAGACGCCCAAGGAATCCAACACGTGCTAATCAACCGGCGCTAAGCCCCGCCCTTGAGTTCGACCGCTGTTCTCTCAACTAATCCTGCAAGGGCTCGCTACATTAAGGTAGGTTGCATTGCATATATATATATTCGTATATACCTGGACCTCGAACGTCAACTAGGCCAGCTTCACCTACCTGACTGGCGAGGTCCGGCAATCCACCCGAACACCTATAACCTATTTCCTCTTCGTTCTCCCATCACTCACCTCGGCCCCGGCCGACGACAGCAACAGCATCAGCATCCTCCATTCGACGGTGAGTCATGCTCGTTGCATACACCTCGACCATGCACCTACACCCATGCACAGTAGCTTGGCAAACCGCCAGCGATTCGACGCGAAGCTGACGGTGAGTTGTACGCAGAGTAGAGCCGCGCAGCTTCTCATCATATGCAGCTCCTCTTGATTGCTTCAAGAGAATAACAATGTCGACAACGGAGCCACAGTCCGGGTCCACGTCGCCCAAAGAGCTTGCGCCCGTCGATTTGCCTTCCGAGGACGATGAGTTTGAGTCCGAGGTCGTTGGAAGTGTCGAGGACTCGGACGTCGATGAACATGCCGGTCGCCATGATATCGAGGGAGACGGCAGCGCTGAAGGCATGCTGCCTCGCGACGTTCCCAAGCGGACAGCATACTACGACCCCGTAGCCGAGCGCCAGATGACCCAGACCGACGCGAAGCTGTTCTACCAGAGAAGTCAGCACAGAGCAGACGGTAGCAACTGGGGGCAATCGCAAGCCACTGCCCCGGCCAGTCCAGTATTTTCCACCGGCTTTGCCAAACTCCATGAGACTGTTGGACCTCAGCCACACGCTGCGGCCGCTGCGCAGCAGAGCATCACCTCTCACCCTCACCCTGCAAACCTCCACCCAAGTACAAGCTCTCTGTCCTTGCCTCCATCTGCTTCAGGCTACAACAGGCTCCCAAGCTACAACAGGCTGCCCGACGTCGGTGGTCTCAGCATTAGAGATGTTCCTATGGGGCCAGAGTCAGCACCGCGCACCGCGACGCGGCCCTCGCTTGTTGGCCATAGCAGTGGTCAATCACCTGCTGCATTGCAGTCCCGTGAGGAGTCTGTAACCTTGGATGATCCCGTGCAGCCCGACATGGGCCTACCCGATGGCGCGGCTGCTGGTATTGGCAGTGGTTTCGCAGACACAGATCCCCACATCGCTGCTGAGCTAAGCTCGATCTTTGGCAATATTCAGAAATGTCTGGACATTCGTCACAAATACATACGTCTCTCGTTGCAGAGGGACGGCGACAACCCCAAGGACGATCCTGGTTGGGATATCTACCCGCCGCCTCCTGAGCCTGCATGGGTCGGGCCTTACACGGCCCAGGCAAATGCAGCGGCGAACAGTCTGAACAGCAGCGTGGTGCTCCCTTTAGGCTCCGATCAGGAACCCTCAAGTGCGGAGCCAAGCAGCGCGACCAATGAGCACCCGAGGAGGAGAACGTCCAAGAAACGCAAACCCGGTCACGATATTGGCGAGGACTTTGATATGGAGGACCTCTTGCCTCTGCCCATGGCCAGCGAATATACCTTCCGGCTTGACGAGAACAGTGTCTACCAAGTGTTCGAGAACGACGGGGCAGATCGTACCAATGCGCCAATCATTGGCGTGCCAACGCTCAAGGACTTTTACGTAGATCTGGAAACGATCCTGTCCATCTCGTCCGATGGACCAAGCAAGAGTTTTGCCTTTCGACGCTTGCAGTATCTCGAAGGGAAATTTAATCTCTACGTGCTCTTGAACGAGTATCAGGAGACTGCCGACAGCAAAAAAGTGCCCCACCGAGATTTCTACAATGTGAGAAAGGTTGATACTCACGTTCATCATTCAGCATGTATGAATCAAAAGCATCTGCTCCGTTTCATCAAGAGCAAGATGAAGAAGTGTCCTGATGAGCCAGTCTTGATTAGGGATGGCAAATTACTCACTTTGGCCGAGGTCTTTGAGAGTATCAACCTCACGGCGTATGATCTAAGCATCGACACGCTTGATATGCACGCCCACGTGGACTCGTTCCATCGATTTGACAAGTTCAACCTCAAGTACAACCCGATAGGAGAATCCCGCCTGAGGACCATCTTTCTGAAAACGGACAACCACATCAACGGCAGATACTTGGCCGAAATCACCAAAGAAGTCATAGCCGACCTCGAGTCTAGCAAGTATCAGATGGTGGAGTGGCGAATTTCCATTTACGGTAGGACCTTGGACGAATGGGACAAGCTGGCTGCTTGGGTTGTTGACAATAAGCTCTTCTCCCACAATGTTCGGTGGCTCATTCAGATCCCACGACTGTACGACGTTTATAAGGCTACAGGCATGATGGAGAGCTTCGAAGAGGTGATCAAAAACGTCTTCCAGCCCCTATTCGAAGTGACCAAAGATCCGCAGAGCCATCCCAAGCTGCACATATTCCTGCAGAGAGTCATTGGCTTTGACAGTGTGGATGATGAAAGCAAGGTTGAGCGCCGGCTCTTCAAGAAGTACCCAGTGCCCAAGGATTGGCATTCCAAGCAGAACCCTCCGTATAGTTATTGGATCTACTACCTGTTTGCCAACATGACGTCGCTCAACTTTTGGCGACGCCAACGTGGTTTCAATACCTTCCTCCTACGGCCGCACTGTGGCGAGGCCGGAGATAGCGAGCACCTTGCTGTGGCTCTACTCTGCTGTCACAGCATCAGCCACGGCCTCCTGCTAAGGAAGGTGCCGTTGCTGCAGTACCTGTTTTACCTCGAACAGATTGGTATCGCCATGTCTCCTCTCAGCAACAATGCCCTCTTCCTCGCCTACGAAAGGAACCCCTTTCATCAGTACTTCAAGCGTGGCTTGAATGTGTCTCTGTCCACCGATGATCCGCTGCAATTTGCCTTCACAAAGGAGCCTCTGATCGAGGAATATGCAGTCGCGGCGCAGATCTACAAGCTCAGCCCTGTAGACATGTGTGAGTTTGCAAAGAACTCGGTCAAGCAAAGTGGTTATGAATACTCGGTCAAACAACAATGGCTTGGAGACAATTTCCACCTCCCCGGCAAAGAGGGGAACAACATGGTCAAGACCAATGTGCCTGATCGTCGAGAGGAGTTCCGACACCATACATGGGTCGAAGAGCATCACATGTAAGGTTGCCCTTGATGAACGTCGCAAAGAGGTCGGTTGGTTAACTTGTAGTAGGATTTCAAGATACACGCAGCCAGCAGCGCCTGGGGGCTCCGGGCACCTCAAGGTCCGAGAGCAGCAAAGCACCGTTGCTGCAGTACCAGCTTCTCCAAAATCGACATCCAAACACGCATCATTTCTAGAGAGCAAGGTCAACAGTCCTGCACTCCAAGAAGTGCAAGGCCAGGTGCAATCAAGCGACCGTTCGCACACCTCTGGACACGAGCCAAGGTATTTCCCTGGCATGGTGGCGAGAGCTTCCAGACGGGGCAGTATTCGTCACGGCTCAGCGCAAGATTCTGACGATGTAGCCTCAACGCGCAATACTCTTAAGAAGAGTGGCGGGAAAGAGGAGCATTCATAGTCAGACATCCTAGGGACTGACTGCATGGCGATGGTTTGGTGTAGCGTAGAAAGTCTAGGACGTGATGGGATGAAGTAAGTCTGTAACGGGATCGGGGTCATTCAAGGCTGATCTGGGATGGACGGCTAAGGTAGGTTCGGCGCTGTGGGGGACGGGGCAGGCTTCATAAGTAGACATACATTCATGTTTGCCCTCAAGTTTCCAACTGCACTGGTGGGATATGAGAAAAAGGCAACCGTTTTCTACTACGGGCCGACGGGATAGATCCATCACGAACAAATGTAAATGGAGAATTTCTGCTATGGAATGACCTCACTTGCATATTACAAATAGAATCTATGGGGTTCTTGCAAGAGGCAGAGATTTGAAACCAAAAAAAACGAGATATTAAATGGCTGTCAAGTTATGAATGTAGGTAAATGAATGCCTTTTGATGGACTAGTTACACAGGCAGACAGGCATCTGGATACCTACTAGGGACTATGTAGGCTGGCAGGATTTGATTTGAATTGACCCATTTTAGCAGAATACATGGATGAGCATGGCACGCACGATATACTTTGACTTAGGTATTAATTTATTGTCTGTCCAGCGGTCATCAATACTTGGTGACAGCGCGAGGCTCAACTTTGGCGGCTCAGGGACCATCATGCTGGATTGGCCAAGGTAATGTAAATGTAATGTACCTACGTAACTCTGGCACCCACCCACCTACCCACCACAGTCGGCGGCGCTCTGTCTCTCTCTTTCTCTCCCCCCCCTCCCCCACATTACAGGGAGCCAGCCATTGATTACAATGTTAGGCTACGTACTACCTAAAACCTACCTTGACTACATACCTAATCCAGCGCATCAAGACCGGATACGTTGACCACCCTCAGCTCGTTCCCCATTCTCTCAATACAGAGACGTGCATGTCAAGCCAAAACGGGTTGTAAGAGACCAGTTACTTTTTCATACTCGTCCTGCCAACCCTCTGTCCTCCAGTCCTGTTCCAAAATGTCCATCTCCAACGAGGCTCTACAGAAGGTAAGGTGTAACGCATTTTTTTTGTGTGCCCCATCTCCCCTCCCGATTGATTCGACCTTGCTTCAGCTAACCAAAGGCTTCTTCTAGCTCGTTCGCGAGATTGAAACGCAGGCCATCGTGGCCCAGCAGCAGATCTCGCTGGTACGGACGCAGCAGGCGTCGAAGCAGCGCGAGCTCCGAATGGCGCAATTGACACAGACTGAAGTCTCGGCACTGCCAGCTGATACAGGTGTCTATGAAGGCGTTGGCAAGATGTGTGTTCCACCACCACCCCTCCCCTCTTTCACCCCTATTTGTTATCTCTCTCTCTCTCCCCCTCCCCCTCCCTCTCACACGCTCTCTCCCTCTCTCTAAATCCTACCCCTTCCCTTCCCTTCTTCACATGTCATCATTCCATCTCCACGTCGTTGCGGGATATGCCATCCGTATCACCGAGTTGCTGCTGGAGGAGCGACTTACTAATGTTTGCACGGCTTGAAAAGGTTCGTGGCCCTGCCCATGTCGGGCCTCCAGGGCAAGCTGGACACGCAGATCAAGGATGCACAGAAGGAGGTCGAGAATCTAGGCAAGAAACTCCAGTCTCTAGAGCTCACGCAGAAGAACAGTAAGGAGCACATTGATCGGATGCTCAGGGGAGGAATGGGCGCATGATGAAACGTAGCGGCCCATGCTCCGGTTCCCCCCCCGTCTCCAAATTCCAGCTCTCGGGTGATGCTGCGGACGGTGATGATGGATTGGCTGCGTGAGTTGGTCGGCAAGCCACGGCCTCCTTCTTTCGACGGGTTGTCAAGTTGCCCAGACCATCTTCTTGGGACGTCCGGGCTCTGCTGCTGGCTTGTGGATACTGAGAATATGTATTGGGGATCGGCATGGTATTGTTAGCTCTCGAGGCATCTGGGGTTGGTGCAGTGAGTGTGGGATTTGCTGGATATCCACGTGTTTTTGCAGTGGTAAGCGAAGGCGGCGGATGCTTGCGAGTTGCGGCCGCGTCTCTGTCTGTCCTGCCTGTCTGCCCAGTCGGGTTGTGTTTCACATGTGCATTATGATTTCTGCTCAAGACAAGACGAGCGCAGTCCCAACATACAGAAATGCACCTTTGCTACCTACCTATATACTTACTGTACTTGCTGTACCTGGGGTGCGGCTGTTGTCTCGTTGTCAGCAGTGTGTGCTTGTAGCGGAGCGAGGACCAGCACGGCGGGTCAAGTACATGGAACGAAATACAGAAAGAGGGAGAGAGCACGAAATCTGAAGACAGAAATAAAATTAAAATTGATGAATCGAGGGTGGCAAGAACCGAGAGAGGGAGAAGAACCTCGTCCATGCTGTCCGCTCAATAGGAATGACTCTTGCGTAGCTATTGAGCCGCCTTTATGGGCAAAGAAAAGTAACCTATAGGTGGTAATGGTAGCAGGAGCCCGAAACAGCTCTTGAGACGGGGAACTTTTCTGGGCCTACCTAAGTGCCAGTCCCCGAGGCTGAAGATGATGATGATATGAACTAAACGCCCCATCTTTGCAGCACGTGGTCGTCCAACATCGTGTTACCGACTAGGTATGCATGGGTCAACTCGGCCTGAATTTTGTCTTCTTCTTCTTCTTCTCATCCTCCTTCTCTCCATGCTTCTCACTCACTAAATGAATTAGAGAACAAATTCTCGTCATGTGCAGCTCTTTAACGTGTGGCAAGAATTATAACACATGATAATGATGAGGCAAAAATGTCTAGTACCTAAAATGCCTGATCACCCATTCTTGTTCATTGAACATTCCTTCCATCTGACCTCGGTTGGGATTGAAAGAATGGGAAAGAAGTAAGCACTTGTCCAAGAACTGCTTAGGTCAGATTGAAGGTTCCAAGATTATGGCGGAGAAAAAAGCAGTGAGTAATCTGTAAGTACGCTATCCAAATGCCAGCAAGCTGGAAGAAAAGGGAGGGAAAAAAAAAAACCAGGCTCTTGGTGTCGGTATGGTGGCCGGGGCTAAGACTGCGTACCTACCTAAGCACGACAGGGGGAACTGACTGGCCGGTACGACGGGTTGAACCGGTGGGAAACCGAGTAAAGCTTAAAAACAAAAGAAGGAGGCAAGGCAAAGCAAAAGGTCAGTAATGAAAATAATAAATAATAATACTATAAATGAGTCAGAATTGATAAACACGACTAGATAAATGAAAAAAAAAAAATTTTCCTTCTCCCCCAACTAGGTCAAGTAGGAGATAAAATAAATGAAAAAAACTTCCGATGATTTGGTCATCGAACCCCCCCCCACCCCCTCAAGAATAACAGGACCAGTGCCGAGATGGCCTCGATTTCGCATCCTGACCGCTGTTGTGCCTGTCTTGCCAACCAGTGAGGATTGCATCTCGGGCCTGGGCTGTTTTCTGACTTACATGGCCGTTCGTCATTCTTATGCATCTTTGGGTAGGTAAGTAAGTATGTAGGTATGCAATGTAATCCATTCTCTAGCTCCGAGATGTATGTTGGCTTATTATTTCTTTCTCACCTATACACAATAGGTAATTCGTAACTCAGTCCACTTGAATTAATACCAAGGTATATTATATGCACGTGCGTGCTCTATGTGTACTGTGTACAGTAGTAGTAGCCTTACCAAAAACCCTTACCACCCCGACTTACGTATAATACTAGCCCCTCTTTTTATGAGGGGTCTCTTTTGGTTTTCTTTTCTTTTTCTTGTTTCCCTCCCCACTTGCGACCAAAAAGTCCCTGTTACCACCTACCTGCTACATAAGACCACAGTACCTTGCCTACCTCTGCCTTGTTGCTTGGGATGAAATGGCCCCCAAATGGACCCATGTTAATAGTGTCAGGGAACGTGTAGCTACATAGCTCATTATGCAGCAGCAAGTTGTCGACTAAACCTCAATCAAACAGGATCGGAGGGTCTCTCTCTCTCTCTCTTCTCTCTCTCTTTCACACAGACACATCCACACACCCACTACAGAAAATCAAATGAAGAAAAAGAAGCATTTGTAAAAACCCAAAAGGTTCAAATCACAAGCCCAAAACAATATACGGATACGATCTTATTGCTCGAACAAAAAAGAGGCGAGACCCACGGGTTCAATGACCATTCTACATGTCTACTACTAGGTATGTATACTAATAAGTCTACCTAATCCTAGTACAAATGTTACCATGCAAGGACGGATATAGAACAGGAGGAGCCTGGGCTAGGTAGGCACTAATGTATGTAAAAGTAGACATTCACAGGGTTATTCCATTGGGATCTGGCACCATGTTTTGCTTCTATTTTCAGCCCCCAACCCAATCTGGACGTCGTCCCCTCTCTGGCCTCCCCCTCCATCAATGCCACTACCTACATGCATACTGACAATTGCCAGGAATCTACCAAGTACATACCTCCTAACCTTGCCCTGGCTGGTCCATTAAGGTATTGTTAGTTAGTTGAAGTATACCCAAAAGCAGTGTCTACTCCCCGCCCCAAGTATCTTACCTACCTAAATGCCAACCTGTCTACCGCTCATGACCTGGGGAGTCCTAGATTGCTGGCTAGTAGTATCACGGATGCCAGCGCCCATTCCAAAGTAAGTTACCACCACCCTGCTGCCCGGCTGTCTGGCTGGCTAGCTGGCTGCCCGGCTGGCTCGCTCATTGACCTCAGCTGCATGGGATCGCACTGACATGATCTTTGTCCTATTCGCCTCTGGTACGGCTGTGCTTCCACACGGCCTAATACTACTGCCACTACTACTACCACTACCTGATATACACAGCAAAGACTGCACATAACTCGATGAACCATGGTCTTTTTTGCATGTACCTACCTACGATTCGTACCTTGCCTTGACTGCCTGCTTGCCTGCCTGCCTGCCTTTATCTCTGGTCCAGCCCGTCTCTCTAGTCTTGCGCGGCTTCTCTTACTCTCAGCTCCCTGGAGGTTACAAAGACTTGAAGTGCGGGAGCAGAAACTGGGAAGACAATCCTTCCAGCCAGGGGTAGATACAGCGAATTGTCGTTTTAACTCACGCCAAATATTGCCGTGCCAGATTGTCATTCCATGGCCAACATGACAGACGAACTGACGGACGGCTAAAAGCCCACTGCGCTATTGTCCCACACACACACACACACACACACACACATACCCCTCTATCTGTCGGAGCAATGAGTACATAATGAGTGTCTTTACTTGCTGGCTGGATGACATACAAGAGCCTGGCCGGTGAAGATATATATATATGTGTGTGTGTGTGTATACATGTATAATATCCCATTGCAAGCAAGCCCCTCTTTCCCCCCTCGTTGCGCTGCGGCTGCTGTGTATCCACAGAATCGGATACAGGCGTGCGTGTAAGAGTGAGTTCAACAAGCAATCTAGAGTGGCCTGAGCGAGCGAGCGAACGAGCGCTTGAGAGCAAAGATGTAAAAGTTGTGTGAGCTTTCTCACGCCTACTGTAGCCAGCTAGCCAGATATACGTCCAATCATTCCCGTAATGTACAAGCCAGCCGATGGCCACACCCCCAGCCAGACTCTTTTTTTTTTTTTTCTTCTGCTCTCTTGCTCTCTGCGATAGATGGGCGGGACCAGAATCCAGCCCCCCCTCCCCACCCGAATTGTCAGCCGGCTGACTTGACTTTACTCTCTGTTCCTTTCCTTTGATAATCTGAATCCTTTCGTCTATTCTTTTCTTACTTCTGTCCCTCTCTCTCCTCCTCCTCCCTCTTTATCTTGTCTCTTCAGATTTTTACGCCTGTGATTTTCTTCCTCATTTGATTGTCATCATCGCGTATGTCGCTCTGTGCCACACTCTCGCGCAACGTCCAAACGGTTTCTCCCCCCACCGACACTGCATCGCCCATTTGGGTAAAAGGTGACATTATAGTCGTATTTCTCATACTTTCTGGAGAGGGGGGATTTTCACTTTCTCCCTTTTTTTCTCTCTATACCTAGTACTATATCCCACGTGCGCACATCCTGATCGGGACAAGAACTTCTGCATCCATATATATATATATATATATATATCTCTCCTTGGTGTATGCCAGCATGAGCCGGTACAGCTCACGATACTCCGACTCCGAGTCGGATGTCGACATTCATATCAGTCGGCATCACGCCTCACCTGCGCGTCCAGTCCGTGCTCCCGTCCAATATGTCGAGGCGCCACGCCGACCTCGTTATGATGATCGTGATCGCTTCCTGATTCCTCAGCACACTGAGCGCACCGTGGTCACGGCTCGTTCCAGGTCAAGGGATCGCCGCCATCGCGACAGCTCACCCAGGTCTCCTCCTGCTCCTCCTCCCGCCGCCGCCGCCCCTCCTGTCATTATCAATAACCACATTATTAACTATTCCGACTCGGACTCGGAGTCATCCGACGACGGGCGCCACCGACACCACCAGGAGCTCGTACGTCACACCAAAGTCGTGCGGGAACGTGCCGACTCTTCTTCCTCGTCGTACTACCGGGAAAGAGATGCGCGTCGCCATGATGTCGAGCGTGAGGTCGAGCGGGAGCTGGCGCGCAACCGCAAAGACGATGAACTCGAAAGGGCCCGCAAGGAACTCGCGGAACTAAAGTTGGTCGCTAAAATTGAGGAGGATGACCGCCGCCGCAACAAGACCGCCAAAGAGGAGCGCGAGCTGCACCAGATGAAGAAGGAGCTCGACGAGATCCGCCAGGCCAAGGAGCGCGAGGAGAATGAGAGGCGCCTCAAGACCAAGCTCGAAGTCGAACGCCTGCGCAAGGAGGACGAGGAGCGCGTCGAGAAGCAGCGCCTGGAGAAGCAGGCCCGTGACGCGGTCGAGAAGTACAAGAAGGACGAGGCTGCCCGGATAGCCAGAGAAAAGGAGGAGAAGGAGCAGCGCGACAAAGAGTACAAGCTGCGACTCCAGGAGCAACTGCTCAAGTCCGGCCTGGACGAGAAGGAGATCAATGCTATCCTCGCCGGCAAAAAGGTCGAGAAGAAGGAGGAGAAGAAGAAGGAAAAGGAGCCGGACACGAGGCCAACCTATACGCGGATGGCTCGGAGACACCTCTCGTTCGAGACATTGCGCGTGTATAACATTGACTACCAGCTCGATAACGTAAGTGGCCCCGTACTCTTCACCAGAGGACCCCCCATCATTGCACGTGTCGCAAGCATTTACCAACAACGTGAACTGATCACATCTTCTCCCGCTGTAGGATCCCGAATTCGTGCTGATCAAGAGATGGGTTCCGGATGCGGAACAGGATGTCCTGTGGAGACACACCAGGATCATCAGAGAGGAGCGCAACCGGAAGCTGGTCATGACCATTGAAGACAAGCCCAAGAAGCACAAGCATCACCACCACGGCGCATCACTCGAGCCGGAGTTCGAGTGGGTGCGCAAGAAGGAGCGCAGGAGGAGCCGATCTCCTGGTTTGCTCATGTATCTAGCAGGTGGGAGGCCTGCATAAACGAACGCTTTTGGGGGGGCCCTGTTTATTTCAAAATCCTGTTCTCGTGATTTTTTCTTCGCAATACGTTTTTGCAAATGCGTAGTTAGCATATGCGACAAAGGATCTTCCCACATGAGGAGGAGGAGGAGGGGGGGGTGGGAAACGAGAGACACGGTGAGGTGTGGGCAAAAGGACATTTTTGTTCTTCGCTCTGGACCGCAGGTTCTTGGTTCTATCTTGAGATGAGATTTGTTTCAGCTAGCTAAGCATTGGTATCATGGTTGCCCTGCGTTCTCAGAACATCTGTGGTTTTTCTGGTTCCTTTTTTCCCCCTCATGGTGAGAGGGCGTTGAAAATAACGGGGAGGAGGAGGATGATGATGACGGCGACGATACAAAACCATATTATACCTGACCGCTTACATTGCGGCTCAATGTAGTCTCTGCTCTTCGAATAATTTCTTCATACAACATCCAGGCCAGCGCCGAACTGATGGCTTTCCGCGTGAGCCGCAGTGCCAGTCCGTCATATAGTGACCGCACGCCCTCCTCTGTGATCATTTTGCTCATAGCCTGAAGAGTATTCCGGTATTCGTGCGGCTGAAGCTGGATTCGCGTCTTGACGGCATCAAAGGGGTTCGTGATAAAGGAGCACGTGGCGCTTGCCATGGCCCCGGAGCTGAAATTGATCGTGGCCGCCAGGGAAGAGGTCATGTTGGAAGATGCCTGCGCTCCGTCGACAGCAGCGACACCCTTGCTCCGCCCATAGATCTTGCTAAGCCGCTTCTTGAATTGTTCATAGAAGAGGACGTAGAGCCCAGCGTGTGGCGCATCGCGAACCGCGGTGGCTCCGTAGCCGGCAAAGAAGCCGCGTATCCTCTCCTTCTGATATATGTCACGCGCGGCACCGGCCAGCGACGTGTACGAGTACAGGTTGGACTCGTAGCGGACCTTGAGAATGGTCAAGGGCATGAGCAGGAAGCCGGCAAAGGCACGGGCAAAGGCGCCCGAGAGCAAATTGGCCGTGTTGGACAGCTTTGGGAGGGATGAGGACGACGAGTAGCGACCGGACGAGGAAGACGAGGCAGACGAGGAAGAAGCGGCGAGGGCGAGGGGCGTCGCATGCTGCCGGATTGTGCTCAGGGTGGTGAAGTAGACGGCGGAGCCAAAGCCGGTGCGCAGCGTCGAGGGCACGGTGCCGCGCCAGAAGGCGGCAACAGCATTGGGCGACTTGGCAATCTCGCGGATCGTGGTCCGAATCGACTGCGAGCCCGACTGTTGTACGCGGGTCTTGAGCAGGTCGATGGGCTGTAGGAGAACGGCGCCCAGGGTGCCGGAGCACAGTCCGGCTACAAAGTGAAAGGACTCTTGTGACGGTCGTCAGTATGCCATCGCGCGGCGTCAGTCAGAGGGTGTGTGTGCCTGACTTGAAGAAGACGCATTGCTACTCTGCGACATGTTTCGTATCTTGGTGTATTATTGCCTAGACCAACCGGGGCGTTGCAGTTCAGACACCCTGCCGAAGCAGACTAGGGCTTGCTTTTATCTGGCCATAAGGCGATGATGGTATTTTGATGATGTCCTTGTGCAGCAGTAATAGTTAGTTTTGTTCCTGCCCTTTCCAGCTTCCGCTCCTCTCTTCTTGGTGTGTAAAGAAAAGAGGTCCAGAGAATTGGAAGGAAGGAAAAAAGGCAGATTGATAGAATCAAATGTATCAAGAAAACAGCCAACCAGCTCTTGGTACAAAAGAATGAAGAAAAGTAGAGAATTAGTAGCAGGTCAAGTAATACAATGGCGGACAAGACAGGAAAGGGGATAGAGAAAAAGCGAGAGAGACAGAGAGAGAAAGGTAGTTCGTTCCTTTTGGCCTCTAAACATCCGAATGTACAGTAATCGCGTCGCCCGGCCGCGGTAGGGTAGGTGAGCTAAGCCCTTTTTTTTTTTTTTTCCTTCCCTTTCCCTCCGTCCTGGCGTACAAATATTTAGTGGAACTCCAACAACGCCGGATCGCCCCGAGCGGCGCATGATGTCACCGGAATCGCCGGGTATCGAAGAGGATCCTGAACGAGCGACGCAATTTACTTGCTATTGGTCTTCACAATCTTTCGGCGATTTGATTCTAACCTTGACCGGCTCATCCTTGGTTGCTATTAATGTTGAAGCGGCCCGTAATAGGTTTTTGGTAGTTGAGAACTTTTATACAGTCCTTTGGCAAAATTAACCCGACTATACGCGTTAAGCTACAATCCCTACTTTGAATACATACACTGTTTCAGTTGGGGAGATAAAAACGACTTCTTCTTGGCCATCTAGACGCGCTTCCGTTTTCCGTGATTATGTTCCTTTTCCCATCTTAAACCTTTGCCGACACTTGTGATGGGCGCCTCTCCTTGTGTCCCACAATCGACTCCAGCCGGCCGGCCATGACCCGGTGGCGTTTGACCACTTCCACCCATTCGTCCTCGGCACCGTCACCGATATCAAGACTGGCTAGAAGGACACCAAAATCGCCGCCCAGTCGGCCCAAGCTGCCAGCACAGTATAGTACTTGCGTCAGCAGACTTTCACGAGAAGCCTGATCTTTGATGTTTGGTAGATACAACCTCAGAGTCTCCATGAGCATCTCCACAAGATGAAGCGGAAATGTCGAGAGAGCCGAGGGCACTGGCTGCAATGGGTCGTCCTGCACCGAGCCCTTGCCCTGATCTCCCGAGTCCGGAAAGATGCTCTTGAACATGGAAACAATGGAGAAACTCTGCTCACGGAATATCTCAATGTATCTCTTCAAGTATCTCTCGGTCTGCTGTCCTCCTGACCACGAGCCTCCCGCCGTGCTTTGCTGCTGCTGCCTCACCCGTTCTTGATCGGCCAAATCTCGAAGTGGTTCAAGCGCCGCTAGCATATTTAGGAGCGTCGACAACCGGCAAACGAGGAACAGGGCGCCAAGACCTCCGCCGTTTCCTGCAGAACCAGCGGGATCCAGGTCTGGAACTACCCTACGTAGCCAGCTGATCGTCCTAAGAGCCGAGGCCAGCTTCAAACCAGGAGTACGAAGGGCAGAAATCAAGTTGATGGCCATGGCCTGCATGGCTTCGTCGGCCTGGGAAGATACCGAGTCGACAAGTTGTGACTCTGGATACAGCGAGTGTAGCCGTCTAATGTGACCACTGAGGTCCAACGCCGATGCATAGTTGGCTGCAGCCGCGGAAGAGCCCGAAGTGATGGCAGACGAGAGGAGCGTGGGCAGGTCGAGCACATCGATGAGCCGCTCCGCATTCCGCGACAAGAGGAGGGCTTTCTTCCTGGCATTGAGTAATTCATTCTCACCGGACTTGTGGTATGTGGTGGAGAAATGAACTGCCTCGTTGTCTAGCTTGGGAATGGCAGTCTTCAGATCCCGGGTAGAGCTAGCCAAGGCCGGCAAGGCGGTCTTGAGCCTGGCATGATTGGAGGCGGATTCGATAATAGACTTGTGAGATCGTTTGGAGAGTGCCTGCAAGGACAGGAGCAGCGAGTGTGATGTCTGGGCCAGCGATTGCTGCTCCGTGGTCTCGATGGAGGAAAGCGGCAGCGAGGCCAAGCTTGCGAGATATTCAAGGGCAACTGGATCAGCGGGCTCGGCTTTGGCGTCGCGGCGATCCCCTGCCGGCGATGCCGTGAGAAGTTCATGAAGCAGATCTGCGGCCATTTTGTCTAACCGGTTGACAATCCTGAGTAAGGCGTGCAATCCGACCCGCCAGTAAATCCTGGTGCTGGCTCGAGTCTCTGCGGCAGAATCCTCGCCGCGACTCGCTACCACAGCTCTTCTCGCCCCTCCTTCGGGGTCAACTATTGATTGTAGTGATATCGAGGCCCGGGGCCGGAGCGCCGTGGCAGATGGACCTCAGGTGTGGGTAATGCTGCAAGGGACAACGCACGCCAGGTAGCGAACAAGACGTCTGCTCAGAATCTGTTCAGATGTGCTCAGACACCAACTTCCTGCGGGCGGCTAAGCATCAACAAGGCGCAACACCGGACACCGGACATGTCATGTGGTCTGGTCTGCGGCTCTTGCCGGTGACTGACCAACGCAGCGGCCAACAAGTCCTCCCAGGCGCGCAGGCAGGCAGGTAGCTCGTCAAGATCCAAAGGTGTTTAACAAGCAAGACAGATGAATGATGGCCGCTGGATATCGCTTCCTCTATATCGTGTGCTATTTCCAAGCTTTCTTGCCCAGTGACTATGATTTGCGTACATGGGTTATGCTCAATTTCCGTTGTAACTCGTGCGGGTGGTTGTTGTACATTACGGGGGATACGAAGGTACCATGTACGCACCAGCAATGGAAAATGCGCATGTGTCACATACGGTAACTTGAGCAGCAGGGCAACAGGGTCGGGACGTCCACTGCTAATAAGGGTCACCCACTCATTGACTACCTGGCTGCTGGGTACCTACATCTTTGCATGTGGTCCCCTAACAGCTGGAATGCGGGGCCAAAACGGACCCCCCTTTCCGACCCGGAACGAAGTTGAGATCAAGATACACACCCCACTAATGGTACATTTTCAACTCAAACCTCCAGGGCTCTCTGTATACATGTAAGATGGTATCAAACCAGCACTTGCAAGGTTAATAGGCGGAGAAAGGGAGAAGAAGAAGTAGAAGAAGAAAAAACTTCTTTCATGGGAGGAGTGCACCTGGTATGTACTGCGTCTTTGTTTATACCCTCATTACCAACTTTTACATAGGCACGCTACTAGACAGTCGACGCCCTTGCATACGTTATGTGTGACCGACTACATGGCAATGCGGCCCTGACGTGACTCTCCCCATGTGCCCAAGTTACCCTCGCTCCCCTCCCACTATAGTTGCCTTGGCTGCCACCTTAGCTACCACCCAATAGAGCTACCTTGACTAGGAGCGAACAGGGTCACAAGCATCCTAAGTCCGTCCCAACAAATTCGGCTTCTTGCCTGAAAACGGTGCTGCTCGTCATGGCATTTTCCCATCCAAAAATATATATATATATATATATCTGGTACTGGAATAAATAAGAGCAGGAAGAAGAAGAAGAAGAAGAAGAGGAGCATGTGCCATTGATCCCGCCGACAGCCTGACTTGGTGATTAATACCAGTTTCTCTTCATCTGACAGCGTTTTGAGACTCCTCGCTCAGACCAACTACATACTCCCCTACTATTAAGTGTGCTTGACTGCCCTCCTGACCAGTCCAGCGCAAAAAAAAAGTAGTAGTAGTACCTGCCTACCTACTGTAGCTTCGAGCTCCTGGGGACGGACTGACTTCGTACCTCACCTACCTCTCCGTCATCCCTCAGATTTGCATGGGATTGCTTGATTATATTGACTTCTCGGCTCTTACCTTATCGCTCACTCGCTCGTCCATCTTGGCTCACCTGACAAAATCGCCCTGTTCGTGCTCTCCCTCTGTCGCTCTCTCTGCTCGCGAACCCACATCTCACCCATCAGCCAGCACACACAGACAGTCACACACGACCTGGACCAACTCGGCACAAGGCAGCTGATCCACCTCGCTCTCTGACACATACAGAAGTCCAGATTGCTCTCTTCAGTTGTATATAACTCCACGAGAGGCGACCACTCGACCGACCTGGCGTAGTCAAAAGTGCTGCGCTCACTTACGTTCGATTCTACTCCTCCACGCTTCTCTCACCATTTCGAAAAATCAACCGAGACAGACAACGACGACAAGAGGGCCCTGACACTTCTCAACGAGGAGGAAAGAAAAGAAAATATGAAGGATCCTTTTCCCATCGCCCCGATACCAGCCTTGTCCAAGGCTGTGCAGCCATGGGCCGACTGGCTCTCTCTGCCGACCCTGCCGCTGCACATCCATGAGGTTCTCATAATAGCCGCGTTCTACCACTTTGTCCATGTGGTCGTCGCCCCTTTAGTCTCAAACTGGGTGTTTCCAGTCCAGTACAAGAGCTTGTCGAGGACCAAGAAGCTCAACTGGGATGTACACGTCGTCTCCTTTGTCCAGAGCACCACCATCAATGCTCTGGCCTTGTGGGTTGTCTTCGCCGACGACGAGCGCTGGAACATGGATGCTCAAGAGCGTGTCTATGGCTACACTGGTGCTATTGCCATGATCCAGGCCCTCGCTGCTGGTTACTTTCTGTGGGATCTCATCATCACAGCTTCCAACATGCACATATTTGGTCTTGGCATGCTCGCTCATGCCATTAGTGCCTTGCTGGTCTATTCCTTTGGTTTCGTAAGCTATTTTGGCATCTCATGTCGCTAAATCTGCAGTAACTAACCCGCGTGCTCCAACAGCGACCATTCGTGAACTACTATAGCACAACCTTCATCCTCTGGGAGCTGTCGTCTCCCTTTCTCAACATCCACTGGTTCTGCGACAAGCTCGGCCTGACGGGCTCCAAGATCCAATTGTACAACGGCCTCGCCCTGATTGCCACCTTTTTCTCCTGCCGCCTCGTATGGGGCACGTACAACTCTTACCGCGTCTTTTGCGATATCTGGAGCGCTATGGAGACCAAGCCTTCGTACATTCCCTTGACCTCGGATGTGGCCCAGAACCTGACAGTCCCCACTCGTTATGAGTCGACCATGAGGTTTGTGACCGAGTCGAGCAGCGTTCCCCTTTGGCTGGGCGCCTTGTACCTGGGGGCGAACTTGACTCTCAACTCGCTCAACTTTTACTGGTTTGTCAAAATGATCCAGGCCGTGCAGAAGAGGTTCGATCCCTCGCAGGCGGACCAGTCGGCAAAGGAGAAGCCGCTTTCGGACGGCACGGCCACTACAACCGCCACTGAGGTGCAGACCGAGCTCAAATCGCGGCCTCGCCGGGGCACCATCTTGGACGGAGAAGACGGCGATCAGCCGCCACCAGGAATTTGAAGGATAATGAAGCCAGCATAGAGAAAGAGAGAGATGAACACCATGTCAAAATTCATGCTCTGATTTGCGAACTACAATTACATATCCGTAACGAGAACTCATGCTTGCCTAGAAGATTCATATCCACAGTTTGGACCATCCAGTGGCTTCATTTCAGGCACCAGGACGGCCAAGAAGCACTCTCATCATGCTCTGATTGTTTCAGCTGCCAAGCATGGCATCAGCCGCGCGATCTGCCCATAAAAGGTAGGACCAAAAAAAGAAAAATAATTTTGGAAATGTGAAATTCAGGAGCGATATGAAGCTATAAAGTGTATGTCCTGGAAAAATCGAAGCCACTGGTCGGTTTTGTTGCTTCACATAGGAAAGGGTCTGTCTGCTGTTCAGCACGACGGTGGAATCAACGGCCCATTCGACCACTCAACACACACAAGTCATGGCCGTTGCTGTCTGTAGGCCACTAATTCCTGCATCAATACTCGTCTTCTTCTTCGTCTTCGTCTTCGTCTTCCTCGTCCTCGTTAGCTGGCTGTGCTTTATCGGTGGTGTTTCTTCTGGCTAGGCCGCCCAGTAGCTGACCAACTTGACCGGCAGCACCACCTTTTGCACCACCAGTACCTCCGGCAGCACCGGTCAAACCACCCAGGAGCTGATCGAGGCCTCCCGCTCCGGCGCCCCTAATTAGGATGAATCAGCTACATTGATTTCTCTCTTGAAGGGTTTTCATGCGACGATTCGAAGTTACTCACGCTCCTTTACCTCCCGTTGCTCCGCTAAAGAGTCCATCTAGTCCCCCGGCACTGTCTCTTGTGTTAGAACTGAGCGAGTAGTTGATATAAACCTGACATGACTTACGCTCCGCCAGTACCGCCAGCGTCACCAAGGATGGAGTCCAAAGGATTGGCCTCGCTGTGTGAAGATGAGCCTTTAGCTGGGTTGAAAAGTGAAAAGAGATGAGAGAGAAAGCAAGAAAAATGAATGGAACAACTTACGCATCACTAGACTTTGCGACAGGTGCCCTTTTTTGTACCAACTGTCCCTTGGATGCCTTGGTGGTCACCACCCCGACACGTGTAGCCAGGGGATCGGATGGTGCAGCAGTAGCTGTAGTGAGGAGAGTGGCCAGCACGGCAGCTACGAAAGAATATTGCATTCTGAAGAAAATTGTGTTGGCTCTGGATAATTACAAGTGAGGAGTAACGACAAGGGAGAAACTAGTAACGGTTACTTGTGAAATCGAAATCAAAGTGATGATTAATAAAAAAAGACGTGCTGCTGCTTGGAGAAATTGCTTCAAAATGGAGAGGAGCAGGATCTTTGTCTTTCTAAATACTCAGAAGCTGACAGGGCGCACATGACATTCCTTCTGCAAAGCATCCGTGCTTATACCTACAGACTGATGAGAGCCTTCCAGAGTTTGACACGATATATGTCACTGGCGCCGGGCAATTGATACCGCTTGGTCCTTTTGAATGAGAGCCGCCAAACGTCGCTCGGCCCTGACAAAACAGAGCCTCTAATACCACTGTTTCCGGGTACTCTGGGTGAGATACCAAGTTGCCCATGGCTAGGCCAATCTTTTGCCACCCATGCATGGCCGATTACAGAATCCGGGGAACAGCCAAGATGGAGGAGGACGAGGTGGTGCTATCATATTGTTATTGTGTTTTGACGGTCCAATCGCCAACCTGTGCGTTGTATACTTTCGTCCCTGGAAGGCGCTGCGGCGGTTTCTCGCACAGACGCTGGTGTGAAGTTGGTCGAATCAAGTCATGTTTGGCACCAAGAAAGAAACTCGTCCATCACAAAGGGAAAAAANAAAAACGAAACACGCATCGACTCATTCCAATCTCTGAAGCGTCTCGCTAGTTAGCTAGTGCCCTACGGTACGTGTATTTCTAGATACATACATACTATACAAACGGCTTAGAGCCATATAGAAAGACGCTTCTGCTGACTGCCCAGACATAGATCACGCATCTTTCATAGCCTGTGCTTCAAATGCAATTCCGTGTTTTTGAGAAGGAAGACAATGTGAGATTTTACAATGCCTCACTTCTCCTTTCGGAAAGCACATGGGAACCATGCTCAAAGGCAGAGAGAGTTATCGGCCCATATTGCCTGGCAAGATATGCTACGGAATCATACCTCGACTAGCTAGAAACAAATATATAGATATTGTATATAGAAGACTTTATGTACAGCTAGGCACCTCTGCACGTGGCCCAGTCATCAACCCACTGAGTTTCTCTCCATATTCATCAATAGCTTGGTTTGCCTGTCTTCATTTCCAACCGGTCGATAGGCTCCTCCCCCAGTACTCCAAAAAGAGGGGAGAAACGGAAAAACGTCCCAACGGTTGAATTAAAGCTCAATGTAATTCACTTGATCATTGATTCCACTACATCGGACTGTCGTCGGAAAAAGGGACCCTGCTTTAGCAATGTTCAAGCTTCCTGAGCTGCGGCAATACTCGTCTATCAATCAAGTCTAGATAAAGGGTTTGCGCCGTATCACACTCCTGATAGCTTTATTTTGCAAGCCATTAGAGCATTAAAAACCAAATGGGTTTTGCGGGGCTGTTTTATTTATGCCATGGTTAGCTGCTATACTCTGTAGGATTAAAGAAATGCCAGCAACTTACTTGCTTGTGAGAGATTCGCACGCCGGCCGGTAGCCTGCGGTTGGATCTTCTCTGGGACGCCGAACCGTACCGGAGGGGCTGGTCCCGTGGGTTGTGGCTGCAAGGGAGCAACGGCCGGGGTCTGGCCGCTCTGATTGTTTAAGTTCGAATTGAAGCCCTGTCCGAAACCTCCACCGAATCCAGTCTGCTGCGGTTGGAGACCAGTCTGCATCTGTGGCATACCGGTTCTCTGGGGTTCCATGGCTGGCGGCAAGAACGAATTCACACCAGTGGGCTGAGCTATCTGCTGCGGTGGCTGCTGGCCGGCATTGAAGGCCCCTGGGAAGCCCGTGGGTTGGTTCTGTATGGGCGAGAATTGTTGCAACGGGGCCATGCCCGTCATGTTCGGTTGCATGAACTGGCTGCCGGGGTTGTATCCTGTGGGTTGAGGGGCCATGGCTTGCTGGCCACCAGGCCCAGTGTTGTAACCCATCATGCCCTGCCCCGTCTGCTGTGGCTGGAAGCCGCCCATGAACTGCTGCTGCTGCTGCTGAAGTCTCTGCTGGTTGAGGTCGTTCATGCTCTGGCCCGAGGGCGCAAACCCCGTCATCTGCGGCTGCAGGGGCGGTGGTGCAAACCCGCTGGGCTGCGCAGACTGGGGAGCAGAAAGCGGTCGCATCGGCGGCGGCGGTACCAAGCCCGGCTGGCCTTGTGTCATCTGAGGTGCGAGGGGCCGCTGCCGACTGCCACCTAGTCCCAAGCCTAGGGGCTGGCCGGTAGGCATTGCTGCCAAGCCCGTCTGCTGTGGTGCCAGGCCCGAGAAAAATGCGGGCGAGGCACCTTGCTGAACTTGTGCAGTTGCAGCCTGTTGCTGAGATACAGACTGAGGCGGCGGTTGGATGACTTGTGGCGGAGGGGGAGGTGGTTCCATCTTCTCTGGCTCAAGGGGCTTCGACAGCAGCGAGAGATCTTGCATGGCTTGTGTTAACAGCGCGGGAGGCTTTGGCTGTTCAGGTGCTGCCGGTGCCGGTGCCGGTGCCGGTGCTGCTACTGGCGCCGGGGCAGGTTGTGTTGCCTGAGGTTCTGGCGTCTTGGAAGGCTTAACACTCCAGGCATCATCATCAAATCCTCCGGCAGTGCCCTTCTCGCCTGCATTGGGTCTCTTGGCGGTTGGCGACGATGCTGCAGCAGCGGCATCAGCACCCGTCTCTTTGGAGAACGCCTTGGGATCAACTGTATTGTTTGTTTCGGTTGCAGGAGCCGGCCTTCCTTTTCGAGTATTGTTCCGCAGGGTTCCTCCGGGTCCTGAAAACAGCCCACCCGAGCCGGCCTCGCCATCCTCATCGCCTGCAAAGCTGACGCCTCTCTTCTTCGCATCGCGCCCGAATTTCTTGTCCAGGTAGCGCATGACCTTGATGATGTCGCCTTCGCGCAAACCCAGGTTTCGAAGGACACTGGCATCCACATCGGGAAGCACGGTTTCGTCCATGGAGTCCTTGGCAAAGGCCTGCGCGTACCTTTCGCAAAGTCCCACAGCCACGTCGCAGGAGAGGAAGAATTGAAACCAGTCATACTCAGGCTTGTCCACAGAGGCGCCGACTCTGGATGACGAGTCCCCTCTCGGCGCCTGCTGTCTCGTAGACTGCGCCCGTTTCACGTCCGATAGTGGTCGATCTTCATCTAGCGAGATACCAGTAATCAATTCGACATATTCAAGATCCTTGGCGGACATCTTTGCAATTGGAACAGCAATTTTGACGCCATTAACCTTGTGGAGGTTTATTTTGCCGTCCTTTACGCCAAGGAGCTGAGCCTCGACACTGAAGGACTTGCTGCGATCCGTCCAGACTCGCACCTTGGCGGGGTCGGGTTCTGTATCATGGTCAGTATACACAAGAAAATCAAGCTGATTGTGTACATGGCACGCTTAAACAGATACTTACTCGACTTGGAGGATGATTTGCCACCGGATCGGTTGTTCTGCTGCTGGCCATTTTGGTTACCAATGTTCACGGCTGACAAGCTACTTTTTCTTTCGGGCAAACGCATTCCAGGTCCTACCTCTACTGCTTGTGGTTCCCGCTTCAAAGCCTCCCTTGTCAAGCGCTCCTCCTCCAGCCTGTTCTGCTTCACGCTAGAGCGTCCCGCATTGATGCCAGTGGTCGAAGAGGTGACTGTGGACGCGAGTGTCTCTGTGATTTCGATATAGCTGCTCGGGACAACTCCTTCTTTGCCATTCTTAAGTCGTCGGACTTGCCACCATTCATCACTCTTCGTGTCGTCGACTACTATAACCTCGTCGCCGACGCCGACGGTGACCTCGTCATCTCCTTGGGCCATGAAATCGTAGAGTACAGTTCCCCTCTTCTGAATCGTCTGTCCTGTGCCGGCCATGATGACTTCCCGGAGCCCCTCGGCTCGGATGGCGCCAGACAGTTCCCCCAGCGCACTGACAATTTCGGCAGCCGTGTCCTTAGCTCCGGCGTGAAAGTCAATACTTCTGCTGGGCCGCACGAGCTCCAAAAAGACATGTTTGCCCTCTCGCGAGTAGTGTGTCATCCTATCGGCGGTCCATTCCTGAGTGGGCCCATCCGAGGCCTTTTCGGGCGCAATCAGGATGACACCGGTTTTCAGATTCACGCCCAGGGTGGTTGGCATCTTCTTCTTCTTTCCCATGACTGAAACCATTTCATTGATGTTATACATGTGGAAGCCACCAGGTGCAATGCGGCCATGGGAGCCTTCTGGCACTTCGTCGTCATAGGCCCTCTGCCTCCGGCTACTGGTCCTCTGCGGTGGCGGGGAGTGGAGGGATTGGTCATTGGAAATGGCCGATAAGGATCGCGGGCGAACGGGCAGTGCTGGACTCGGCTCGTCTTCCGACTCCTCCGAGATATACTGCCGACGCGGAGGCACGGCAATGGGAGGAGGCGTTGGCGCTCGGGTGGAAGTCCTGGCCTGCATGACGCCGGCCAGCGCGGCAGCGGGTGCCGGGGCGGCGGGTGCTGGCTCAGAGGCTACCGAGGGTTGCCGCACGGGAAGGGGTGGGCTCTGCGGCTCTTCTTCTGGTTCTTCCTCTACAGGTGGGCGCACTGGCAGAGATGGGGGAAGCGGAGGGGCAACGGGTTCCTGTGCAGGTGCCGGCTCGGGCTCTGCGTCTTCGGCGCCGTCGGCAACTTCAATATAATTGGAAGGGGCAAAACCGAAGTCGCCGTCGGTCCCTACGAGAATCCAGTCGGGATCCGAGTTATCATAAATCTGTAGCTTGGCATCTTCGGAGAAGGAGACCTCTTCGTCGGTTTGGCGGGTGTAGTCGTACAGGGCACGAGCTTGGGTGATTATGGGGGCCTGCAGCGCATTTTAGTTTCTCGACATGCTGTGACGAGGAAAGACTGGCAAGGTGATGATTGATTTTATTCCATGTACCTACCTGTTCAACGTAGTTGTTGGGTATTAATCCGACGGGCTCGTCCTCGTCATCCGCGTTTGCCTTTTTCTTGGCCTTCCACCAGTCATCATCGCCGTCCTTTTCTAAGAGGTAGAGGATGTCACCCTCGGTGATGGCCAGCTCGCCTTCACTCTGGGGTTCATAGTCGTAGATGGCCTTGTAGACGCCAAGGAAGCCCATGATGTCGATATGAAGCCGGTCTGTAAACGAAAGGAAGGTGGGCAGTTGAGCGATAGGGGGTTTGCGGGTGGTTGTCTGATCTTCCTGGAGTTGGGCGTCTCACACGATTGGGCCCCCTGAAGCTCCAAGGAAGGGTTATGTCACTCGGGACAAGACCAGCGTGCTACCAAGGTCCTCGAGATGCGATCGGAACAGAGCGCAGCGGCATGCCAATGCAGGAAGACCGAAGCGACGGCAGTGTCAATGGTCGCAAATGGGTCGGGCAGGTTGTTTGGTAGGTTGCTCGCTCAGTCTGCCTGTGCGTGGGGGGGGTGGGAGCTGAATGTTGAATGCCTTGACTGGGCGGACGTCTTTGACCACCCGTGCTTGGAGGCTGGCTGGATGGAGGGTGCGTAGGTCAAATCGGTACCTTACCTAGTACTTGTAGTAATGTCGGCTGGCTTCAATGGGTTGTCGAGGTACCTAACTTATGGCCACGAAATGTAGGTTGGTTGATGTACCCACGGTATGTAGGTAGCGTGCGCCTGGTGCTATTTTGGTGGGCCCCCCTGACTGCAGCCAAATCAGAGAAGAGCCCAAAAGAGGCCCGGGGCAGCCCAAAGGGGATGATGGAGCGATTTGGAGGGATATCAAATGTATGGAAAACACAAATTACCAAGTCTCTAAAGCAAAACCATCAGAAGTCTGATCTAACGAGAATATCTGATATTGAACGACAAGCCTCCAGGTTCATATCGACCAATAATTGTACGTTGCATGAGTGAGAAATCGGCAAGGTACATGATTACTTGTCAACCCAGTGGTGGGTATGTACGATGACTCGAGCGTAGTAGGTATTTGCACGAGATCCATACCACCACCATGGAGATGCAGAAAGTTGAGAATGTACGTACACGTATATCTGCAACTTGAGGAAGGATTTCCACAACGATGCGACTTGGGAAAAGCCGGAAAGAAAACTTGCATTTGTTACGTGCAGCTGGAGAAGCAATTCAGGAGAACGGATTGTCGGGTTAGTTTTTTTTAGTTAGTTTTTTTGCTTCTTCCGGTACATGATAGTACAGGTACGTCATAAGATGAGCCTCCCACCCAATGTTTGAAGTTCGTGCTTATTACCGATAGAATACTAGCTGCTTGCTGCTACCTACCTACCTACCTACCTATGCATTACATTGCCTCGACACTCACATCTTGGTGTCCACCATGCCAGATGCACGCTCGCCGATTGTGTGACACAATACTCTACATATACTTGAGAGCATTTTGATTTATACGTCTATTGATTTTTTGATTTTTTTCAGAACCTATCTATAATCTAATCGTGATGCCTCAGCCCAGTCTTTGCAGTATTGCTCTCCCTCCCCGTTGCTTCCTATATCATGCAGTTTTCTTTCCATTTAATTGGGTCGATATTTTGTCTGCTGCGACAACTTCTGGGATCGAAAAGACGGACGGCCAATTGAGTTGGAACTTGTCTTCATTGCCGTCCATGCAGCGGTGGATCCATATTCTCCAGGTAATGTAATAGTACGCTGGGCCACAACGTCAGTCATCTGTAAACAGGTCGCGCGGCTTTCCACCGGCCTCAAAGATGCTGCAGCCAGGGGTTTTTGTGTATCGAACGCTACTCACCTCCGATTCCAGTCATCAGATGCCACCAAGCGTGACCTTCTAGAACCACAGCCCAAGGAAGTCCTAGATTGTGCCTCCAGGGGCGGATCGTGCTGCAGTAGACGTTGTCGAGGTTCCAAATTAGAAATCCGCCCAGAAATATTGTAAGACCTTTCATTGAGATTAGAAGATCTCTTCGAAACCGGCAGGGATGAATGAGTGTGCGGCAGCACTACTATATAGACATACCAGTAGCCACAAGAATCCACATGTCCTTGATGATGGCATCCGCCGTAGGCACGCGGGATGCTGGCGAGCGTTCTTGTTGGCGCTTCTCCAGGGCCGGGCGGACAGACTTCTCCATAATCCACATGTTTGAGAAGACCACGACGGCCGTGAGAACGGCGTAGGCGTCTTGGTGGAATTGTGGATCTTTGGTGTGGTAGTATCGTGCCGTGATGAACCATGCCAGCCCAGTGAGAGCCGCTCCGAGCAGGATGGAGAAGACGCGAGACCTCCGATAGGAAAACGTGGCAAAGCACATGAGACAAGTTGTATATATCATGGAGAGCTCATCAACCAGCTGCATGGGGTATTTCAACGTAGCGTGAAACAAGGTCGAACCAGTGCCGACAACCATGTAGCCTATAAAGGCGACGACAAAGATGGCGGGATGGCCATACTTGAGGCAGTCTCTAATCCCTTTCAGACCGAGCCAGATAAAAAGGAGATTTGTCAAGGTCTATAGAGCAATGACAGACACGGGCGTGAATTAGCCGAAGACGAGGTGACCTGCGGTGGCGGCGGCGGCGGCGGAGGGGGTTGGGGCTTCACTCACGTTGCAGAATTCGGCACAGTAGTAGCTGATGACATAGTCCTCCTCGCAAAAATTCAGGGTGACTGTCTTGTCGCCCCAGTAGCCCTCCCGGGGTTCGTGGTACGGAAAAGAGAGGGCACTGAGGATAGAGTCCAGCATGACTCCGGAGATGCGCGGCTTTTGCGCACGCTCGGCAGGATGTCGATTGCTTGAACGTATTGTCTGGTAGAAGAATTCCCGGAGATGAGGGAGGAGGAGCACGAGGAGCTGGAAAAGGCGACTGAGAAGAATTGATCTTACGTGTGTTTGGCGGCGGAGGCGTCGGCGATATGCAATGCGCAAGCAAGTCTGCAAGTATTATGTGGTACTAGAGATTGCTGGTTGGAAGGAGAAGAAAGTCCGGGATGTATTGTTGTACCCATGTATATATCGGTATAATGGCGTCCCGGATGTCAATTTTTGGTATGTCTTTGTGTGTAAATAATATCTCAAAACCTAGGTCACTGCCTACCAGCCATCAATACGAGGATACAAGGTTTACTGTGAAAACGTTTTCGATGGAGCCCCCGGTGCTGCAATCAATAATGTACCTAGTGTAAAGAATTCATTGCAGTATTTGTATGCGTAGTCCAATGCAGGTGCGCGCCGTTGCGTTTACAATACACGTGCTAATAAATGAAGTATGTAGATTTCTTCTACCATGCTTAGCCAAGGTTTAAAAGAGAGGGAGGGGGGGTAACAACTGAAAGGAAAGAAACCCGAGGCTCAACGACTGACTTTGCTTGAGAATCGATGCAGACAGCAATTTAGCAAGAGCCTCAACGATGAGTGACCAGAGTAATGAATGTCCAGTCATTCCATTAACATTGATATCTGCGCTGTTGCATCGTCGGTAATGATGCGATTCGACACTGGGTGTAACTGAAAACCCCACCAGACACCGAGACATCCGACTGCCGACAAACCGAGTGCCTTCAGTGCCCAAGCTTACAAAGCATTGATCCTCCTGACTGAAAAGCGAATCCAGCCAGTTGAAGTAGTACGACCGGACAAGAAGACGATTTTCTGTACAACAACAGGTGTTTTTTGTTTTTTTTTTGGTGGCTGCAAATATGCTCCTCTGGCTCACTCTCAATATTGCATGATCAAGATTCCTTGGCACGCTGTCTGCTTTCAGCTAGGTAGCCGAGACAGGGAGAGCGAATTGCACAAAAATAGTGCAGAAACACTCAGAAGTACACATTGGCCTAGAAAATGCGGCTACTGCGTACTGCCCGAGCACCTCTAACAATTGAGAACTTGAACCTGGGCCATGCTTGGCGCGCGCCACGCAATCCCAGGCATAGCGGCGGCAGTCAAGCGACTTAGACGCGATGGATCCCAGCGCCCCTGGAGCCGACAGCCGCGAGGGAGGTACCTACCTACGTCAATCCAAGGTACGTGCACGCCTCGCTCGAAAGGCAGGCACACGCCCAAGACGCCGCAATCAAGCAATTGATTTAATTGCCTAAAGGCGCGCCCAGGTACAGGTACCACTAAGCACGCCAATCAATCAATCAATCAATCCGGCCTATCTAAGGTAGGCAGCGCGGCGCAATCTCAAGTGCCAGCTTACACTTTTGTTGTTTAACCACCGTGACGTTGAGAATTCGCGGTCCGGATCGCTTCCAACGTCAACCGCTACACGTCTAAAGTAACTGCCACCTGTGCCACTTTGTTCTGCCGTATCGAATACACAGCGCCATTGCGAAGAGGATTCGCTCTTCTCCCTCTTCGTCCTTCTGGCCATTTTCGAGCCGCATATCCACGCAAGCTACCAGAGTACCTCCGCATTAGCTATTCGCCCTTCCGTTCGAGATTGCCAAGGAGAAACAACAAGGCTGTATTGTGACACTGTCATTTACTGACCTGGGACGGACACGACAACTCCCAAGCCCCTACGACGCCTCCAGGTGAACACACTTGTTCATTTCTTGCGAGTACTTTCCATATTGCTCTTGCTGCCAAGCAGCGGCACACCACTTGTTCATTACAGGCACCAGGACGGACGTGCGACCTCGCTGCCCACACCCAAACCCGGCCCAGCTGGTTGATCCAAGACACTACTGCGCCTGCACACTCTGCCATTTTAACAGTGGTGCTGAGCAGTCCATCACAACAACAACAACAACAACAATGCAATGCACAAGTAGCACCACCGAGCTTGCCCACGACAGTTGATTCCATAGCTTCGACATGGCTGCACCGAACAAAGGGTCGCGATGGGGCTCTTTCCTGTCCCAGGCTGTCGCTGGTGTCGAGGCCAGACTTGACAATATACTTGCCGAAGAAGAGCCAGCCCCGAAACAACCCAATGCTCCCTCAACCACCGCTGCCACTGTCGCATCACCGCCCAAGCCTAACTCGACGCCCACGAAGAGTGCCAACGACAGACTGCAAGAGAGGCTGGCTAGGGCAGTAGCTGCCAAAAACGCTGGCGGCACCGCCACCCCGAAATCTGAAGCCTCTCCAGGACGACCATCCACCGAGCTCTCCTCCGCAAATCAGAGTCCCCGCCCTAGCTCAGACCTATCCAGAGTGAATTCGCCCCCGCCGGTCGTCGCCTCGTCTCCGCGAACCAGTCTCTCCAGGGATGAGCGCGTTGGCGACCCACGCCACATCAGCCAAACTGCCAATGGAATCGAGGACCAGCCAGCAAATGAGCTCGCTGCGCCGGTGAAGGAAGCTGACTTGCCTGTGACTTCGAGTCAAGTCGGAGACTCAGTGCAGCAGCAGGAACAACCAAGCGTAGCATCGCCAGCACCCATCGGCACGTCTTCGACCAAGGAGGAGACGGTGCAAGTATCTGTTTCTACAAGCGAGAAGATTGTCTCTTCGTTGGATCTTTATGAGAAGCGCATTGCCGACCTGGAAAGGACATTGGAAGAGCTGCAAAGTCAGCACCAGGAGGAGTTGCATAGCCAGGTGGAACGGGTCGATGCTCTCCAGGCCAAGCTTCAGTATCTCGCTCGAGAGGCGAGCGAGTCTGCCAGAAAGGATGGATCAGCCGCCGCCTCGGGCAGCTTGGAGAAACGGATAGCCGAAAAGGATCAACAAGTGGCACAACTAATGGAGGAGGGAAACAAACTCGCCGGCAACGAACAGAAACTTCGTGCTGTTATTAAGAAGTTGAGAGCACAAATCACAGCCGAAGAGAAGGAATTGAATGAGCAGAAGATGTGGCGCCAAAAGGCAGAGGCCGAGCTGCTCAATCTCCGCGATACCATCCGTGGTATAGATGAAGATAGAAAGGCAAATGATGAGTCTCAAAAGACCATTACTCAACTGAGGAGGGATTTGGATCGTGTCAAGACCACTGTTTCGACAAAGGACGCGACGATATCAGACCTGAGGGCACAACTTGAAGAGGCTTCCGAACGTGCAAAGAGCATGGCAGCAAAAATCAATAATGAGGCTAGGGAAAATCATCAAGGCAAGATCAAGGAACTCGAAGATACAATTGCTTCCATGCAGGTCGAGAAAACGTTGGCTGCAGATAAGGCCAAAGCCACTGCGAATGACTTGCGCGAAAATGCCGAACGTACCGCGGAGCGAGCCCGGGCGGTTGAGCTGGAGCTCAAGGGCGAAGTCCAGATCCTTGAGAGTAAGTTGGAAGCCCTTCGAGCTACTGCCGAGGAAGCCTCCACTGGTGCTGTGGGTGATGCTCAAGCCAAATTGCTGCGACAGATCGAGACGTTGCAAACGCAGTACTCGATAGCTAGCGAGAATTGGCAAGGAATGGAAGCCTCCCTGCTTGCGAGGACAGCGAATCTCGAGAAAGAGAGGGATGAAGCATTGCGAAGAGAGTCGGACATGAGGAAAAAGGCCCGAGAATCGGTAAGTTTATTCCAAAACTCACACAACACGGGTAGAGTGCTGAATAGAGAAAAACAAAGGCCGCTCGTGTAAAACGCCAAGAGGAAGAATTGGAAGAAGCAAAAACTCAACTTCCCAATGTGCAACAGGATCTTTCCAATCACCGGGCTCAGCTCGAGTCGTTGCGGAAGCGTGCAGAAGAAGCAGAAAAGGCGCTGGCCGAAGCAAAAGCCGAGGCTGAGAAACAGCAACTGGTCACTAGGCAAGACTCTTTAGATAAGGTGGGAGTAGAGCGCCGCCCATGGCTCGACGAAGTTGCCCTGCAGACAAGCCGACCAGCTTCCCCTCTGTTATCTGCGCCGCAGCGGGCATACAGCAGCGACTTCCTCGGTCTCCAGAACGTCCCCACCAAGCTTCGAAAGACATCGGCGCCATCTAGTAATAACGGAGACGTCAGCCCCAACGAGAGGCTGGTGTCAGCACGACGGCCTTCGCAACAGCCACGTCCGTCGCTATTTTCCATGCCATCCACCCAGTCAGGCGGCACACCACCGTCAATCTTGAGCCACCTTGAGCAAATCACCTCACCCACTCATCCCCTCGACAAGGAGGACATGTTTGATGGGGCCGAGACGGTCGCTTCGCCGCAGAATGTTCTCCACGACATGGTCTCGGTGTCAACGATTGCCGCGGGTCCTTCCGTCCAGCTGGTAGAGAGAATGAGTGCCGCCATTCGTCGCTTGGAGAGCGAAAAGGTTGCCGCTAAGGAGGAATTGACCAGAATTACAAGTCAGCGGGATGAGGCCCGGAGTGAGATCGTGACGCTCATGAAGGATGTGGAAACAGGCAAGGCAGCCAACACGAGGGTGGAGGCTCTGGAGAAGGAGGTTGCAGATATCAACGATAGGTATCAGACTACCTTGGAAATGCTGGGAGAGAAGAGTGAGATGGTGGAGGAACTCCGTGCTGATGTCCAAGACGTCAAAGCCATGTACAGAGACTTAGTCGAGCGCACCCACAAATGAGCTTGATTATTGTAGCTATTATTACCCAGCTTCTAGGCGAGCGCTGACAAATGTCGCCGCCGATACGACCCCCTTCTTTCCCTCATTCTCTCCTCTCTCTTCAACAGCGCCGTTTGTTTTCCTTCTCTTCCCCTGTCCATAATAGATGACCTCTGGTCTACAATACAAGCTGGAAGCAGCCTACAAGTCAATGCCCTCATTCTCTGCCTCCCTCTCGATGTACTTGCGCACCTTTGGAAGTATTAGTCCACCAGTAATCATAACAAACAAGCTTGTATAAGGGCCAGTGATGACTTACTTCCTTGTCAGGGGCCAGGTCCAAGGCCAAGAACCCATCCGCGTCCTTCTTGTCGGTTTCGGCTCCAGCCTTGATCAGCGCCACTGCAGCAGCACCTGGCGGCGTGTCAGCATACACGGCCTTACTATCTATCCCTTACATGACTTCGGTGGTCCTTACCATGACCTTCTGCAATTGCATGGTGCAGAGCTGTGTAGCCTGCGCTATCCGTGGCGTTCAAGGGTGACTTGTTCTTCGTCAGAAGGTTGATCATCGGAACCGATCCCACGGCAGCAGCACGGTGCAAAGGATATTGGCCGCGTTTATCTCTTACTCTGGCCGAGGCTGGCGGTTTGGCGTCAAATAGCATATGGGCTACATCGATGTTGTTCTTGGAAGATACGAAATGCAACGCAGTCTGGATTTTGCAGTGAGCGATGGAGACCCCTTTGAATGAAAATGAAGAAGACAAAGGGGAGGAGAGAGGGAGAGGGATGAAGTAGCCACAGTGTACAAAAGCTCACCTGCCCGCTATTATCTATTCAAAGTGTCAGCTAGGACTTACTCTCCAGCATGGAATCACGATGTGGACGGACAATACTTACTCGTCTGGTTCACATCTGCTCCCCAACCCAGGAGCATGGCCACTAGTTTCTCTGCGTCCTTGACGCTGGCGGCGATCATTAGCGGTGTCCAACCGCTGTCATCCTGTCTCCATGTTCAGTTTCAAGTGTCCTTGGCAAACCCGATCTCGGTTCTTCCTATGCAGGTTCCCTGGAGTCCTACCTCGACGTCCGGGTCAAATTGCTTCTGCTGTGCAAGCAATTGGACAATCTCGGGTTGATTTGACGATGCGGCCCAGTGGATAGGAAGCCGTCCATCGTCATCCTTGTGCCGCGCCTGCTTTGGGTCGGCCTATAAGAGCGAGGAAGTGTGTTAAAGTGAATTCGGAGTTTTCTACGAAATAAATGGAGTGAGGTATGTATCCTACGTTCAAGAGCGACTCAACAACGGTGACTTTGAAGTAAACGTGTCAGCGATGGTTTGCAGCTACGAGTGACTGGGTATGTTACAGGTTTATGAACTAGACACTTACCCTTTCCCTCCCGAGCTGCCGCATGTATTGCGAATTTGGATCTGTCCGGATCCATGCTTGTGTCTACTTGAAAAGCCTCAAGAGTTTGCTACTAGCAGCAGGTGAGGGGGGCACCTGGAAATGACGAGAGCCGCCGTGCTCCTATGCTCTCGTGTAGGTAATGTAGCTAGAGACAGAGAGGTAGAAACAGCTCCAATAATAAGGTAAGTTGTCTCTCTCTCTCTCTCTCTCTATCTCGCAAACGGAAAGAGTGGAACCCAGAGATGGGGAGTTTGCTGACGGAGGAAGAAATCCTGACGGCGAATGATTTTCTTTTCAATGGGGAAACCTTTTCTCTCGAATGATGCTGGTAATTATCAAGTAAGGCGTAATGGTGAAAGGGAAACAAGAGAAGTCCTTTACAGCATTCAGTTTACTTTTATACCGACTCAGGTAACCAAGTACACGCAAACATCAATGCCGTGCCCCCACTCGCATGTGTAGCACCAGTATGAGGTACCCAAGGTACCTAAGGTTGATTTGTGCATTTACAGAATAGGGTATATGCATGTAACGGGTTGCTCACTATCCGTCCAATAACTAAAACTTAATGACTGCTTTTGGCCTGCTCCATCGCGCCGCCAGCCTCTGTGTGATTGACCCCAGATTGGTTCTTTGACAACAGCTCCCTCAGCGTTAGCTTTACATCAACATTTCAACTTTTTTTTTTTTTTTTTTTTCAATTTTTGCTTTCTCCAAAACACGTGTGTCGCCTCTCGACCGGTGCAAATTTGTATTAGGAGACCGAGACACCAAAGCGCCATCTCCGTTTCGTACCTTCAACTTGCTTGCCCACCCCATTCATTCATTCTATTGCCTCTTCCCGACGCGAGTTCTACTACGGGGACCATCTGCGGCGCGTCGACCTTGCCCGCGCACGCCCACCATGCCGGATCTCGAGTCGCTCGTTCTCAGCAACGCACGGAAATCAAAAACTCTCTTCTCTACGGCGGGACTTGGTGCTGAAGGAAGGAAGCGACAGAAGCTGAGCACTGATGCGGATCTGGAGAAGGAGGCGATTTCTGTACGGCTCCACGCAGAATATGCAGACCTCAAGGAACTCCCCGCTGCGCTTGCTGCAAAGCAGGCTAATGCCATGACTGCTAGAAAGAAGAAGACCAAGGCTCCAATTGGCGAGGGCGCGCCGGCTGCCGAGGAACAAAGGACGCTCAAGTTAATCGAGGGTATCGCCGAGAAAACGACGCCATCGTCTTCATCATCGCAAGCCACAGGCGCATCGACTGCTCTGGTGCAGAGGACTAAGCAGACATTTACCTCGTCAACGACGCACTCTGGGGAACAGCCCCAGAACCAACTGAGCGTCGCGCGCGCTCAAGCCACACATCAGATCAAACCCGACTGGCATCCGCCATGGAAGCTGATGAGAGTTATATCAGGGCATCTGGGTTGGGTGAGGGCCTTGGCTGTCGAGCCTGGAAACCAATGGTTTGCTAGTGGTGCCGGAGATCGGACCATCAAAATCTGGGACCTTGCCACGGGAAACCTCAGACTCACGCTGACCGGCCACATCTCGACGGTGCGAGGACTGGCCGTCTCTCCCCGCCACCCTTACCTTTTCTCCTGCGGCGAGGATAAGATGGTCAAGTGCTGGGACTTGGAAACGAACAAAGTAATACGGCACTACCACGGGCATCTGAGTGGTGTATATACCCTTTCCTTGCACCCAACGCTAGATGTTCTGGTGACTGGTGGTCGCGACGGTGCTGTTCGAGTCTGGGATATGCGGACGAGGGCCAACGTGCACGTCCTGTCCGGACACAAACAGACGGTTGCCGATGTCAAGACTCAACCGGCTGATCCCCAAATCATTAGCGCGTCTCTTGATGCCACCGTTCGAATGTGGGACCTGGCAGCTGGAAAGACAATGGGGGTGCTGACGCATCACAAGAAGGGCGTCCGCGCCCTGGCACTCCATCCCAGCGAGTTCACTTTCGCTTCGGCGAGCACTGGAAGCATCAAGCAGTGGAAGTGTCCCGAGGGTGCCTTTATGCAAAACCTCGACGGCCACAACGCTGTTATCAATTCCCTTGCGGCAAATGAAGATGTTCTGTTCTCAGGAGGTGATAATGGCTCCATGTGCTTCTGGGACTGGAAATCAGGACATCGGTATCAGTCCCTGGACTCGATTGCCCAGCCAGGGTCTTTAGATGCCGAGGCAGGCATCATGAGCTCAACCTTTGACCAGACTGGGCTCAGACTAATCGTCGGCGAAGCCGACAAGACGATCAAGATTTGGAAGCCAGATCCTGACGCAACTCCCGAAACCCATCCGCTTGAGTGGAAGCCCACACTGGGACGACAAAAGTATTAGACGGAGCTCAATTGTGTGATGGCGAGTGTTATAGTCATCTTGGTGGCCGAGAATCGTTGGCGCATGCAACATATCAATTGATGGCATGACAGAAACAGAGAAGAGGAAGAAAGGGCGTTGTCGACTTAGCGGGGGTGGGTATCATCATGTAAAAGACTGCCTACCCAAAAACCAGGGTTTCTACCATTGTACACTAAAATGCTATACCCAGAGCTCTGATTTCAGGATCATCACGAAACGCCAGTTTAATCTCCTCATCACCAATAGCAAGTCTTATCTTGCTAGGCCGTTCTGGTCTTTGGCCTTCCAGAATGATGATACCGGCTCCAGTCAAATCCACTGCTGCCGCGCTGATTCCCATTGCTCTCGTCATGCCCGTGGTATCTTGCTTTCGTCGAGACACTTCCTGTTCCAGACCTGACTTGCCTGTCAGTAATTTCACTCGTGTGCTGCCCGAATCTAGAACAAGTGCTCGTCTCAGCTCTTCTTGCACATCTCCATATGTACTGTCTGGCAGTCCAGTTCTCTGGTTGCGGACCGATAGCGCGGCCAGGACGAGCTTGGAAGCATACGGCAGAGCTCGTAGGTACTGCTGTAGAGGACTTGATGTAGCCTCATGAATGGCCCTCTTCACTGTTGCAATCGTGACTCTCCCCTTGGTGCCTTTTTTCTGGTCTTTCACCGAGTTCTCCTTGTCCTTGGCCCTTTTGCTTGGTGTTGACGGTTCTTCAGCGGTCCCTTCGCCCCTGACCTCGGCCTCGGCCAGCTCGACAGCTCGTCTGCAAATGTCAAGTGCTCTCCGGGCGTCACCACTGACAGCAGCAACCTTTCGGCTGGCAAATTGCACTGCATCAGATTCGACAATGTTTCCTGGCACTCCTTCCAATCTCGACTGGATGATTTTCATCAGCTGCTCATGATTGTAGCCGGGAAACGTGATTCGCGTGAGCCCAAGACGACTGCTGATCTTGTTGCTCAATGTTCTCTCGGGAAGGTCCATGGTATTGGCCACAGCCAGCACAATAAGCCGCGAGTGTCGCAGACCTGGCCAGTTGAAGAAGTTGTACATGACGCTCTGGTTCTTGGTGACCAGCTGATCGAGCTCGTCCATGAGGACCACACAAGGCACTCGTCTCGGGCTTGGGTGATTGAATTCTCTCTCAAGAAGATCGAGAGCCTGGCTTGGGCTGACGCGCTGGCCACGCAGCGCTTCCCAAAGTAGAGAATAGGATTGATGCGGATCGGTAATCTTCATGCCGTTGATCTCAACGAATATGAAATCATCCAGCTCATCAGAACGTACAGCATCATCCAATCTAGACACTACCTCACGCACGGTCGCTGTTTTGCCAGTACCAGGCGTGCCCGATATGTAGATGCAGGCACCAGACCCATCGGTGATAGCGGCTTCTAGGTGAGAGTACACGAGCGAGAACTCCGACTCCCGGCACGGAAGACTGGTTGGCACTGAAGCAACGTGCAATTGAGCACGCGCCACCTGAAAGGGCGACGATTGGTGGTGGCTCGGGGATAGGACACGAGTGCCCAGAGGGGTGAACTCCAGGGCCTTCTTGAGGACAATTTTCCGGCTGGACGGAGTCACTAGCTTGGTAGTCTTTTGCCGCTTCCGGGGGGTAGTGATTGCCTGGCGTCCCGGATCGTCGATATCTTCATCGTTGTCATCATGTTCGCCGCCGTCTGCTACGTAGGCAGCTTCCAGGGCAGCAGCGTCTGTCTTCCGTTTCTTCCTGGTCGTTCTAGTCTTTGATTCCACGAAATCTATTAGTGGTACCAGGTCCTCTTCATTGCCGTGAGACATGTCCTCCCATGTAAACTCATCCGTGTATGTTGTTGTCCTCATATTGCAGCCTCGTCGACAAATAAAAGTCTTGTTGTACGCCGGCGAGTTGCGCGGTATTTTGCCATTGGGGTATCTCTCTAGGAACTTTTCCTGTGACATGACGAATGCCTTCCCGTTGATGGAGGCCAGTGGGTTGACGTCAAAGCTGGGGGTAAGATACAGCTCATTCTACCGGCGGCAGATGGGAAATGTTAGCGAAGGCAGTCAATTCATGCTCGTAGGTGCGGCGGGGAAGGGTTTTGTGCGGTGGACAAGGTCTTTACCGGAAGGTAGTCAGTCCTTTTCTTTTCTCTGCTTCTAATCTCCTTCTCACTCGAGAACCAGAGAAAGTTTGCCGCCTTGTCGCCATCCTCATCATCTTCGATGAACTCGGTAATGATGCCGACCCACGCCTCGTGCGATCCCTCGGCCTTGAGCAGGACGGCCTCGCCGAGATAACATTCAAAGGTGCCCATTCGCGCACCAACCACTCTGCCCTGACCATCGCCACGTTTCCGCTTGCGGGCGGACTCGGTATTCACGTCCGACTTGGACGGCGAGGCGGGAGGTGACTGATGTATCCATTCCCAGGGATGGTCTTCGTAGCCAAGCTCATCGTCCGAATCATCCCGAGCGATTCCTGGCGGAAAAGCTGATGACTTTCCACGGGGCATGGTTGTTGAAAATAAAAAATAATAAAAAAAAGCTTGACTCTAGAGTTTCAGCTGCCAATCTAGTGATATGCTGCTTTTTATTTTCTCTTGAGTTGCCAGTTTTTTGTTGTTTTTTTCTCTTCCGAAGCGCTATGTCTGCCAATTGCCCACGCCTCGATCAGTGTAGGCAAGGTACTTGGTTGGTAGAGAGAATGAATCGTAGCGCGTCTTTGATTGAGCAAACGTATGGTACCTTGCTTGTATTTAGCTTGGTCGCGTGTCGCGCGGTCAGGTGACCCCAATTTAGACCCTGGCTTTTCGGCGTGTTATTAGTAGGTACTGTGCACCGTACCGGACATTTACTATACTAGGTTAGGTACGTACATGTACTATGTGCTCCTTCCATTATATACAATGCATAGTCTGATTGCCTTGTTACATGTGCTAGTCACATCAAAAGGTAGGTATGTAGGTAGGTAGGTAGGTAGGTAGGTTAGTACCCATGTACGCAGTCCATGCACCTCGGGGAAGTTGATGTGATTCACTGATATCTCAAGCCCTTGCAATGATCCTGGCTGTAATGAATATATGGTAGTTGTTGCAGCTTGGACATTGCACACATATAAGCTTGTGGATACTTGATTGTACCTTACCACGGTGATCAGTGCCTCTGTGTTTACTCATGCCAGGTCGGCGCGCCCAAGTTGTGATGATTTCTTGTGGAAATGGTGCCAGTCTGGGCGCATGTAAAAATGGCGGGAATGAATAGTACCTAGTAGTCAAGTGTACTTGTATCGCCATAGGTCCTGCTTTGCTCTTTCCTGTCACGGGTCAACTTTGAGGCTTTTGATTTCGTTGCTTCCAGGAATCAACAGTACGGTTTGCTCCTGCTACAAAAGTCCGTGGAGACAAGGCTCGAACAACAGCATCACCTTGTTTTG